TTTTGTGTGAACTCTTTTGTTTGATCTTATAACAGCCTCATGAGATACTTAATGTCTCATGTTAGAGAAGAAGTCAAGGCCAGCAAAATGTTAAGTGGCAAGTTAAGCAGGTGGTTGGCAGAATTAGGTGATAGAGCTGCCCCTGGGCTGTTCTAGCATAGTGCGTGGCTGCCGGATGGTCAGGCTACACATAGCTGAGTGCAGTGTGTGGGATCTACAGCCCATTACTGCCCGTCGTGGGTCTCGTCCAGCTGGGGTGAATGACTGGCTCTGTCCTGTGAACTTTGGGGTCCCCTCGCGGCACCATGGGCTTCCCTGCACAATACTTGTATTTGGGTCCTCAGCCAGCCTTCCAGGGCTGGCCAGGCTGCCTTCTCCTTGCTGGGCTCTGTGTTGCCTTGCTGCCCATCTGAAGCTTCCAATTTGAGGACATTTGAGGAAAGGAACAGTCTCTTTACTCTGCATGTGGAAGCCTGGCCCTGCCCAGGATTCCAGCAGCTCTTTCAGCTTTGGAATCCTAAGTAGTTAGTGACTGCCATGTCTTCTTTACCTTGTAATCTTTCAAGTTGGTTTTAATTATTCAAATATTAGATCAAAATATTCTCCTCATTAAAAATGAATAAAATGATTAAATGAAGTGAAAGTTCTCCTTGACCAAACTCTCCTTGCTTTGAGCTCTGGTTCCTGGGAGGGATACCATCAATACCACTTTGGCACATCTGCAGCTTTTTTTCTCAATGAACATACACACATATACTTGTGCATGTGTTTGTAGATATACACGCACAGTTGTTTGGTGTGTATTTACATAAAGACACCATGTTGTGTGTACACCTTAACTCTTCATTGTCTTGGAGATCTTTCAAATGTTCATTTTCTAACATGATTTTTTAACCACTGGGAAACATTCCCTTTAGGGATATACCCTAATTTATTTGCACTCCTAGGAATGCTGCTATGACAAGCATCATTCTCTTAGGGTATATGTTTAAGTATTTACCCAGAATACAGTGATTGAATTATGGAGTTATAGGCATTTAAAAATTTAAATATGTTCTGCCAAATTTATGGTCACCAAAGGATTATCATCATTCCTCTGAACAGTATGTAGAGCTGTCTATCACACATGTACTCTGTTGCTAACAATCATTTTGATTTGGCCCAGCTGGATGGGTTAACTTTGGTATCACATTCCTTGTGGATTTCACTTGCATTTTCCTGGTTGCTAGTGAGATTGACCACCTTTAAATATGTTCATTGGTTGTCCATATTTCTCCTTTGTGAATCACATGTCTACATGGCCATTCAATTCTCACTTAGTTCTTTGATGCATCTGGAATTGAATTTTGTGAATGATGTGAACTCAGTATCTAATGTTATTGTCTAACAGATGGATAGCCGACACCACTTATCGTCTGTCGCGGTCTTTCCCTACTGATTTGTATGCTATGTTCGTGATGTCCTAAATTCACGTGCATGCTTCCAAAGATTTACTCTTGTGTCATTGTTTTGTTTTTGTTTTGTGGATGATTGTTTGAATTGCTAAAACTTTATAACAGATATATATTACATAAGCTGTGTATTATCTACATGTTTGACATCTGGTTGGTGGTGTCGTGCCTCATTGGTAATATTTATTTGTTTTTGTTGCTGTTGTGTTTCATTCAACTTTTTTCTTGGCTATTATTGCTCATTCATTTTGGATGAATTTGGAAGCATTTTATCAAGTTCCAGCTGGGATGTTAACTAGGATAGCACTGAATTTATAGATTATTTTGGAGAAAAGTGGCCTTTTTGCAACTGAGTGCTTCTACCTGGGACCATAGTACATTTCTGTTTCTTTAGCACTACTTCTATGTACTTTAATAAAATCTGTCTACTGTATTGACCCCCCTTCCCATAAGAACCAGATTCTTTAATTATCTGTATTTTTATCACAGTTTTTTTCTATTAATCCCTACTTTTATCACTATTAAGCCAATTAATTTTGGATTTATTGAATTTTTTCTTTTCTGACTTCTTGGCTGAAAGTTTAGCTCATTATATATTTTTTAACACTTCCACTTTCTAGTAAGTGCTCTAAAGGCATACATTTTCCCCTGAGTACTGCTTGGGCCATAGCCTGCAGGTTTGACACATGGTCCTTGCAGTATCATTCCTTGCTATAGAAATATTTACCTCTCATTTAGATTTCTTTATCCAAAGGATTATCTGGAATACTCTTTTTTGAATTTCCAAATTTATTTTGGCTAGTTTGTTTTTAATTTCTGCTTTTTGTTTGCCTTTAATTATGCCTATATCATGTGTGCTTTCTTTGAGGTTTATTGAGATTTCCTTGTTGCCTAATACGTGATTTGTAAGATTTTCCAGGTGTGTTTGAAAATGCCCTTATAGTTTTTGTTATATGGATACACTTTCTGTATACCTATTAAATTGAATTGGTTAATCCTGTTATATAAATAATCTATATCTACCATATTTTTGATCTACGTATGCTAGAGTCTTCCATTAGGATTATGGCTTTTCCAATTTCTTTTCATATTTCAATTATTTTTTACTTTATGCTTTTCCAGACCCTGTTACTATATGCATAAAGGTTTATGATTGTTATTTCTTCATGTATATAAACTTGACCTTTCCTCACTATGAAATATTCCTCTTTGGCCAATTTCAACCTTTTCCATTTAAATTCTGTTTTGTTTGATGCTATTATTACTATACCTGCTTTCTTTTTTTTTTTAATATTTGCCTGGTGCCTTTAAAAAAAAACTTTTGATTTTCAACTGTTGTTTGTTTTAGGTGTGCATCTTCTATCAGGCTATAGATAATTACATAATTAAAAGAAATTCTGCATCTTAGAATGAGTGACTTGAACCCATTCACATATGTTGTGACTGAAGATATAGTTGGACCTCCTATCTTTGTGTGCGGGTTTTATTTAATGTGCTTGTGGTTGACAACCTTTTTCAGCTTTGTATCCCCAGAGCTGACTAGAGGGCCTGGCTCTAAGAACCTCCTTGATTTCCTAATTCTGATCTGACTTGAGAAGTAACTTAATGGCAAAATAATTCAGGTGTACTAGGGAGGGGACTGCATTCAAGGTGTTGGTAAAAGAAGTTTCAAGAAGGATTTAGTTGCATTATTAAATTGAAGGGAATTTTCTTGTTCATGTAGTTGTAATATATAAGATTTTGAGTTTTCTCTCAACACAAGTTCTGGAGGAGGTTCCTGTTGTTAATGACAGTGGAGGTAAGGATCTTAGAATTGGAGAAGGAAATCAAGAATGTCATCTGCAGCAGCCATGCTCCTTGTGAGGACACTCACTGATGGACATTCCTCAGCAAAACCGAATCACTGTTTAGTTCTGGATTTAGGTCTCCAATTTCTTGATGTTTCCAGCTTCGCCTGCCAGAGTGCTATATTATTATTATTATTATTATTTATTTATTTGTTTGTTTTTAAAATAATAATATAATTGCACCATTAGTTTTACTGCAGACTGCTCTTTCAGAAGAACCACTGTGCTGGATAAACCAACAGATTCAAGGAGTATATAAAAATGAAGTCAGGGTGGCTCACGACCCATTAGACATCATTTTCTTTCCTTAACTGACAAAAAAATGGAAAAACAAAAGCATATATTCTGTCACAGTGGGAAGAACGCTAGCTTGGAATCAAGGGCCTCCCAGGTTTGGCTTTGCCAACTGGGCTCATTAAAACATCCCCAGAAATCTCTCTCAGTACAAATGAGCTGGATTAGTTGATCTCTCACTTTCCTCCAACCCTAAAATATGTCGTCCAGTCTGTGTCTTGAAAAATCTTATGTGAAAGTCTAATAACAGTTAATTTAATTGGCACCCATAAGATTCTGCCATGAGCTAGTTACAACTCAAACCAGGTTCATGTCATACAGTTATTGATTATAAACCATCTAGATTTCATTGCTTTGAAGACTGAGTGAAGCTTTGATGTGTGTTTTTCTAAGCCATTTCATGTTAGCCAGTTACTGAGCTGCAAGGATAAAACCTTGGGCTTCTCCAGTTGCTTTTCCTTGTCTAGAGCAATGTGCACGCCATGCAGGTGACCACTGGGCAGGGCCCAACACCTGCTCTTCTAGGTGGACACTTGCTGTGGACCCAAGCTGTGTGTTCCTTTCCCTTCCTCCTTAAAATGACATTATTTTGCTGTAGGTGGTAAACTACAGAATTCTCTTCCTTGCCTGAGTTTTAATTGGAAGCTTGGAGATTTGACTTACGGTGAGGGGTTCAACAAAGATGTGAAAGTGTGATACATGGTCCTACCTGCTGACTTGATGGAGCACAAACTGCTCTGTGCTGAGGCTCATGACTAAGATTCAGATTAACTAAGAAAAGATATCAGCTCAGCAAATAGATTTTCATTGCTATATAAAACATGCTCTTCTCTGTCAGCTTTTTTTCTGGTTTTCTACAAAATTAGTTTTGCTCCAACACCTCGTCTTCCTTCCCAGCCATCCCCATATCTCCGTGAGGAATGCTGATATTTTAAGTGGTGGTTTTAAACTCTTCTTGGAATATAGGGGTTCCAATAAGCCTTCAAAAACCTGTGAGGGTAAGGAGAGAGAAAGCATGGGTGGGGGCTCAGACCCTCTTTAACACATGTACATCTGTGTAAGCATCACATTTGCCTAAAGGCTGGGAGGGAATTCAGTATGTTTTAACTTGAGCTTTACTGCTAGTGGTGGGAATGTGGATATTTTCTTACATCCCTTTCTTAAAATGTCAATAATTAAATATGTATTATGTATATATTTTTTTTCTTTGAGAGAAACCATGAAATAAAGTCTGACCTTTAAGAGTACAAAAGTGAAATTATCTGAGTTCTTTTCATAGAAGAGGGCTTCTGCTACCTGGGAGAATGGTGGCTTTCAGGGGTCCTGGTGCACCAGGTCCCATTCTCGTCGTGGCAGAGCTGTCTCTCGCCAAGGCTGGCTTTTCCTAACTTGTGTCTCTTCTCCCCAGAATGGCTGCAGTCTGTCCAGGCCACCATGATCCTGTCCATCATTTTCAGTGTTCTGTCCTTGTTCCTGTTCTTCTGCCAGCTCTTCACCCTCACCAAGGGGGGCCGGTTTTATATCACTGGAATCTTCCAAATCCTTGCTGGTAAGTGGGAGACAGTAAAGTCCATGAGGAAGCTGGGCCTATCCAAGGCTGCAGAGCAATCAGTTAGTAGAAGTAGGAGGCCCCTGAATGACTGCTGTTTCTGAGTCTGCCCATTGGGTGGTTTTCATAAAGTACAGGTGTGTGTGTGTGTGTGTGTGTGTGTGCGCGCGCGTGTGCGTGTGTGTGTGCGTGTGCATGTACTTTAGAATTCCGGAACTTGCCACTTCTCCCTGGAATGAGGTACATAGGAAATAGGACTTCGGGGCTCTGGAAGGAAGGTCCCCAACCAAGCCAGACCTGTCATCAGGAACAAAGGTGTGCTCTGGACACACAATCAGAGGTAAATGCTGAGGATATCAGTAGAGCAAAGGCCAGTCTTCAGGGAAGACCCCTGCAGATGACACTATGCCCCAAGGAACCATCATGCTCCAGCATGGAGATTGTCTTGGTTGTGATGTTGTGAGCCAGCAAGGTTGCTGTCAGGCGTGTGTCGCCTACATCTAAGCAGCGATGAAGCCACCCTGACAGATACCGATCCGGCCTCCCTCCAGCTCTTGTGATCCACTGGAACTGTTATACTGTTGTCATCACAGGTGTCTCTGCTGTGGCACACCTGGGTGACATGAGACCATGACAACATTGGAGAGGTTTCCTTCATCTCCTCCCCAAGCCGCCTTCAGGTTCCCCCACCAGACAGGCTGTCCATATGTGCAATGTGCAGGTCCTAGAAGCTTCTGTTACAGAGGGTGACATCTTCTGGCTCTGTCTCTAGGTTCTGACCAATGTCTTACTTCACTGATTCTTATCGTTCTGCCTCTGGGACTTGTCAGCTGACAGAGTCAGTGAGACTGGAGAGAGTAAGAGGCAGATGTGGTGGTGGAGGCCACAGTCCATGCTAATAGATCACAAACTCCATGTGACAGACCACTTCTGGTGCTGTGAGATGTTCTAGATTCTGGCTAAGTAGGCTAGTGACATAGCATCCCTAGTTCTAGTCGGTTGTCAGAATGTCCGTGGTGCTCGAGAGCAGTCACTGGAGGGCTGAAAAGACCCCGTGTATCCTTGATGATGGGTGGGCAGAACAGTGGCTTACACAGGGCTGTATGGGGAGACATGCCTGAGGTTAAGTGGTGTTGACCTTTTCTGGAAGCCAGAGGGTTACCCTTTACTGGAAAAGGACGTGAACTGGAGAGCCTTGTTAGGGAGCCACTTGTCGTTAAATACTGAGACAGGACATTTGAATATGCACAGCTGTAGGGTTCCCAGGCCAAAACCAAACAGGCTATGCTACTTGCATGGCTTGTATACCAAACTGAGCTCCTGGGATGTTGCCGCCTTTGTGAAATTACGAATAACACAGTAAGATACAATTCCTAGGTATGTTAGCAGCAGAGTCATCATTATCCATTCCATTTCCAGAGGTGATGCACAGAATCAGAATGTACTCTGGAAATTTATTTTTTTTGGCTTACCATTTACAGTTGGATATCAAATCAAATAATGATCAGATCCTTTGTATCAATGGATGTATCTTCAAGATACAATAATATTTAGGAACCAGAAATTTCATAAAATATTTATACTTGATCAATACAAGCTCATTATTTTATTGATGGAAAACTGAGAATGGGGAGAAGATAAATGAAAGACCAAGGTCACCCAGCTCATGCAAGGGCAACTGAATGCTTACATTGCTCACAGCACATGGGTTGAATATAGTGAGGTACCTCCTTATATTTAGAGACATGGAATCCACCAGCCTTTTTAGGGAACACAAAATGCAAGGTGGAAACTCTGCTTCCTGCATGATCTGTCACTGAGCCTGATTTACAGTGGAAGATCAAGGCAAATTCACACCATTTATTATTTCTAAACCCCCAGGCATCTGTGATGCAGCATCAGAATTAGGCAAGCTAAAAATACTGGATGAGGAAGAGCTAAGTTACTGTTGAAGGGATATCACAGAGCAGGCAGCACCTTTATCTTCATCCTTCCCCTGGAGATATTACAGTTTTAAGTTCTCTAAAATCTTTTCAGCAACATCATTTTAAGTCAAAACCCAGAATTTAGAGAGAACCACCATTAAGCCACACATGTCACTGCACCGTGTGTTAATGTACTTTGGTTCAGCCAACAACTTTTAGGTACTGAGTTTTCTAATCATCCAAAGTATACTAACTAATCCATACTCTCTTTGTTATTTTCATTCTCCTCTGAACTCAGTACAAGCCTTTAGAACTCTGCTTTAAAAACCTCTGAATTTAAAAGCACATAATTCATGCTTCCTTTATCACCTTCACATCTAGCTTCTTATCTCTCACAAGACCCAGTTTTCAGTTATCAGCTTGGCAGTTTAGTGGTCCATGTTTGAATAGGACTTTTATCTCGAATTAGAACTGCAGGGCCAGAAGAGCAGTTGTAATTTATGTATCAAAGAATGGTCCATGACTAACTGTTGACTCCAGTCAAAATGATCTAAAAGTCAGTTTTCTAGGAACCCTGGATCTCTCAAATGTTGCTTCTGAACTCGCCATAAGGTCTGTCCCCAAAAGTTGAAAACTTAGAGTCTGGCACTTTCTGTAGAGACTTCATGGCTCTTTTAGTGTTTGACAATTTCTGAGTCAACTTTGTCATGTATGTCCCAGCTCGCAGCTTACCAGGAAGCCGGCAACTAGAGAGAGAATTTGGGGAGAGTTGGAGAGAAGTGGAGGCAGCCTGAGAAGGCAGAGCAAACACCAAGCAACAAAGCAGAAAAGCTGAGACCAACAAAACGAAAAAGAAAGAAAGGAGGGAAGAAGGGAGGGGGAAAGGAAGGAGGAAGCAGCCGCACAATCCCGGGATATAAAATCGGAGCGTGCACCTGCTACAGGAGCTAAGCGCCACCCAGAGCAGGCGCAGCTTCAAGCGCTGGAGCATTTTAAGGGAAGCCACCCAGAACCACTGCCGAGTCACCCAAGAGGCTATCGTAGGCTGGATTATCTCTGCATAGCTTGCCCCTGGAGGCCCCAGCTTGGTTTTCGTAGACAATACACAGGTGCGTGCAGGAGAGGCAGGTGAAGGGTGTGTGGGGCTCGGGGCCCTCTGTGGAGGCAGCGGCTTGCTCAGCCTCGCCCTGGACCACAGACCCGCATGCGGTTCTGGCCTGCCTGGTCGGCTGCTTCACCCCTTCTCCATTTCATAAGCCAAAGGCCCCCATGTTAAAGCCGTCTTTCCTTGATTACACACTTCTTAGGTTGGCTGCTTCCTGAAGACGTATCAAAAGGAGGCTTTTTAACTCGGTGCTTCTCAATGTTAGCTGCCCATCAGAAGCACCCATTTAAGAAGGGCGAGCTTCTGGAGAAATACTGGAACACTGCAGCCTTGGGGAGTCCTGTTTAAGAGCTCCTGGGTGAGGCGGCAACCTGGGCAACTCTGATGTTCATCCAGGGCTGGGAACCAGCGATGTAGGCGTCACACTACCCCCAAGCCCCACTGTAGGGTGCTCTAGGACATTCCTCCGCAGACAGCTCATCCCACTTGTGAGCCCAGGATTCTCCTAAAGCCCCTTTGAGAGAAGGGCCGTACTGATCCTGTGTCTGGCCTTTGGGGTCATTCTTATGCTCAGAGCCTGTAGCCATCTCTTCCTGGACTCTAGCGGCCTCCGCTGCAGCTCTGTTGGGTCGGGTAGGAGGGAAACATCAAGAAATACACATAGATGCAGACCTGAAGGAAGACAGGCATGTTACGATTTATTTTACCACTTCAGTCCAGCAGTAAGCTCTCTGCAGGCCACACAGAAGGCCCCGAATAGCCCACTTGCTGGTGACGGGACAATTGTGTTCCTTGGCAGAATCAGACTCGGTCACATGTGTAGCTACTATTCATTGTGATTAAGAACAGAAAGACAGAGAGGGGGACTCCTGAGTGAGTTTTATGTTTTCGGTTTGTTTTGCTTCTTTTGTTAGACAGACCGGTGTAAATATTGGGCTTTAGAATAGAAGAATTTGATGGGTTTGGGGGGGGCAGTGAATAAAAATCCAGGGCTCTTCCTGTTGTAAGTGGTTCAAAGGCAGCTTCAGTGGGAACCGCATTCAGAAACGCTTCCACGAGGGGATGGTTCCAGCTGTAGCTCTGGCTGTGCCCACTCGGCACCCAGTGATGCTGTGGGTGACTTTCTAGGCAGCAGAGACCACTTGGATGCTGAAAACAGAAATCACGTCGGCAGCCCAGAGAAGGCTCTGTGTTGCTGTAGGTCAGATGTAAAGCCCGATGCTTTCAACATAATGGACCTTCCAGCCTCTTTCTGCCCCACCTCACCGCCCTAAGGATAAGGCTGGCTGAGACGAAGGTCAAACCGGCACCTTGCAGGCCCCCTCCCCTGGCCACCATCTGGGTGGTCACACCTGACACTCACTTTCCAGCCTCCTGACTCTAGCTTCACTCCAGGCTCCCAAATGAAACTGCTTTTGCCCAGGTCACTGATGAGCAGTTTGAAGTCATTTGCGAGTCCCCACACTCCTTCCAATTCTGTTGGCTCTGTTCCCTGAACCTGCCAATTCCCAGCTGGAAAGCACATCCCCTGTTTCCAGGGAGTTAGCCCAGCAGGCAGCTGTGCCAGAGACCCCTTCCCTCCCCCACCTCCCCACCACGGGTCCTGCCTCTGGGTAGCATCCCCCGTAGCTATGTGTCCTTTTCCTTTTCCCACACCAGTGCAGCTGTGCAGAGGCCAGCTCCTGCACCTGCCTGGCCTGCCTGGTCCCCACCTGAGTCCACCACCGACTCTGCCACCGGAGTGGCCTATGTAAAACACCCACCTGACTGTGTTTCTCCCCTGGTCCCTCCGCATGCCCTTAAGGGCCTCTCCCCTGCCTCTTCAGACCTGCTGTGGTTTCCACCAGCTCTCCCATCCCGCGTGCCTCACACATGTTCCTCCTTCCCCTGGGATTCTCTTGCACATCCTTAGATCCAGGTCACGCACCTTCTTCTGCCCACCAGTTTGGCCTCAGTGCCCCATCCCTGCTCTCAGTGTCTGCTGTGTTTCTCTCCTTCCCGTGAAGCATATCACATCCTATGGGACGTCCCCACTGACATGTCTGTTTCTGGATAACCCTCAGCCCTCGATGGCAGGGGCCATGCCTCATTCATGATGCTGCTCCCAGCTTCTGGAATGGGGCCTGCCCATGCTCGGGACGTGTCAGGTGCTGATTACACATTTGCTGCACCAAACAGTGGGGAGAAGGTAGTTTAGAGAGTCCCCTCCATTTTACCCTTTGCCATTGAGCCCTTGGTTGGCTCCCTCCAAAGAATGTGGCTTCTTGGTGCCCAGCTGTGGTTGCTATGGCTGTTAAAGGGGGCTTAAGACCTTCTCTTCAGGAGGGCTCTAGGGCAGAGTTTCAGGGGGCCATTGCAGACCCAACCATCCAGGGACAGGGAGAGAGTCTTGTGAACTCTTGGGTGGCCAGCACTTCTGTGTTGTCTGCGTCCTCCCGCGTGCAGCTGACTACACTCCCAGACTCAGGCCCCTCCCAGGGCATGCCCGTTACCGTCACCGTCACTGCCCAAGAACAGCCCGCTCATCTGTGGGGCAGCAGACTGCCCGCTGGCATGTCGCTCCCTCACTTACCTTCCCCCGGGGTGCCTTCACAGATGCCTCTCTCTGTCTACTGGTTGCTGAGAAAGCAAGTCACAGCCTACTTACAGGGAGAAAGGTTTGAGGTTTAGGGACTCTGCTATTGCTCTGACTGCTGTATATTCCAGAGCATATCTGTTACTTAACACGCAGACAGCCTTGTAATGATATATTCCCTGAAACATCAGTCTCCTGATGATAATTATAAAGTGCATCATCTCTTTGGCTTTGTGAGTATCTAAGCTTATTGCTTATTGAAGCAAAGCTTAAATTCATTTACTTCTGAGATTCTACAACAGTGCACTCATGTCAGTTGGTCACTGCACTTGTGTATCCTATCTCTCTCTGTCCCTTTTGGTCATCGATAGACTGTCTTCTCTTTGCCGTGACATCTGGGCACAGCTGGTTTGCACAGCTGCCATGGCATTTCTCATGCTAGAGCTGGGTGGACATATTCTCCCTTTGGAAGCACTGCCAACGCGATAGGCATTGTCCCAGCCTTTGAACACTGTGTTTACGCCTCACACTCTCCCTTGGTCATGCTTCTCTTTTTATAGCCTTGTCCTGGTGGGTAGGTCAGCTATAGCCCAAGAGATGCAACCGCAGTGTTTCTTGAAGACCAGAGTCAGTGCTTTGCAGAATGAGCTGTGCAGCAGTGGGGGAGGAGGGCTGAGCAGCACGGGGCTTGAGACAAATACCGTGTGTTCCCCGCCCACCAACGGCTGTTGTCCTCGAATGACAGGTCGCCAGCCATGGTTTCCCCTCTGACACAGACATCTTTGCTGTTCGAGCTTTCTGTAGGTAGCAGATCCTGGATCTGATCCCACTGTCATTCCAAGACTCTTGTGTGGCTTTCTCAACGGGGGCCAATGGAGGGGGAGCTTTCTCCTCTGACTTGCAGAGGGACAGTATGATCAGGGTGGTCAATGTTACATATTCCCACTTCTGCACGCCGTTGAAACAAAGTTGTAGTGTGCAGGAAAATAGCAGAGAGGTCAGATGTAGGTGGGCCAGGGCACTGGGAGTTTTGGAACCACAGGAATCTCACACGGCATGCTGACTTTATAATAGAGTCACTCAGAGCCTCTCAAAGACCCTGTTTTCAGGAGGGAACAGAGCAGGCTTTGTGCAATTCTGGGCTGGGGTGATGACATCACTGGACCCTTCCCTGCAGGGGGACACTTACTGTCATGGTTGATGTGGACCATCACATTTAACTTGGCTGCTTAATGAGGCCCAAGATGAAGGTTCTTCCTGTCCTTCCACACCAAAGGGCCATAGCACTGGGCAAGGGAGGGTGGCCTGACCTCTCTGTGTATCTGAAACCCTTTCACACCAGCTGTGGCTTCAGACCCAACCTTGGGGGCACCAAGAATTTTTGAAAGGGCCCAGGGGCAATGGAGCTCACCCTTGAATCCTCTTCCCACTGGTGTAGCCTGTCCTTCCTTCTTACCCTCTTCCTCTCCATGTGTTTCCCTGGCTGCCTGCAGCACCCATAGGCATCTCTTATGTGGCAGTCCTGCTCAGGGCGTTGGCGTGGAGCTCTGTCCATATTGTGTATGGAGCCCAGAGCTTTCCTATGGTGGCTTATGATAGAGAGCCATGTCACTGTCACTGGCTTCAGGTAGCACTGCCACCCATTTGTGGAGAGGTTCACAGGTTCCAGGGGCTCCCACGCACAACTGTCATTGGAAGCAGGTACATGAGCTGGCATATCTTGCAACCTGAATCTAGCTGGCCACCTCATGCTGACTAGGAATTGGTAATGGTTCAAGAGAAATGGGGTGGAAAAGATGATGATGACTAGGGGGCCTAGGAGATGATGGTCAGGGTCAAACAGATTATGCACAAGCAGAGAACAATTCACTTCCCATGTTGTGAAATCTCCAAGCCCCCTGCTCTCAATTGTGGATCCAGCAGCAGATTCTTCCAGAATTAGATGTTCTCTTGCACAGTTTGCCTGCCTTCCTGAAGCCCCCTTCCTTCTCCCTGAGAAAGAAAGTTTCAGTGACCTGGTGTGTGTGTGTGCCTGGGGTCCTGCGGAATGTGCATTGGGAGTGGTGGAGAGGGACCCTTGCTGTGACCTCCCCCTCACCCAGCTTGTCCGTCCTTCCCCAGGTCTGTGTGTGATGAGCGCAGCCTCCATCTACACGGTGAGGCACCCGGAATGGCATTTCAACTCTGAGTACTCCTATGGCTTCGCCTACATCCTGGCCTGGGTGGCCTTCCCGCTGGCCCTTCTCAGCGGCGTCGTCTATGTGATCTTGCGGAAACGCGAATGAAGCGCCCGGACGGGTCGTCTGAGCACTGAGCATACATTAGGGGAGGGAGGAAGGCAACCAGAAAACCAAAAAAAAAAAATAAAGAAAAAAAAAATCTAGCAAAAACCCAAACTCAAACCAAATCAAACAGAAAGCAGTTGGGGGGGGGGGTTAGTGTTGATTGAAGATGTATATAATATCTACGGTTTATAAAACCTATTTATAACACTTTTTACATATATGTACATAGTATTGTTTGCTTTATATGTTGACCATCAGCCTTGTGTTGAACCTTACAGAAGTAGCTAAGGCATTTACATCCTAACCCTGTAATCAAACTTAGTAGTTTTGTTTTTCATTTTTTTGTTTTGTTTTGCCTAGAAATAAAGTAACTCCATCTCACCCCTTCCCTTTCATCTGAAAGAAGATACCTCCCTCCCACTTCACCTCACTTAGAAAACCAAAGTATGCATAGAAACCCCGAATGGCCAAAAGCCCTTAGATTGTGGGTGACCCAGTGCACCACACAGGAATATGCACTGTCCCCACCTCTGTGGAAAGCTGTATGCACACACAGACAAAACCCCAAACTGGAGCCCTTGGCAAACACATGGGTTGTGGCTTTGGCATACGTGCCCTCAAGGGCGGGTGTCTTAGTCACATGTCTAGATGAGAATCGGTGACAGCAGACCTACGAAATGGTGCTATGTATTTACCATTCCTGATTATCACTAATCTAAACTACTCACTGGAAATTCAATTAACAATTTTACAACATAAAGTAGAATGGAGACCTGAATAATTCTGTGTAATATAAATGGTTTATAACTGCTTTTGTACCTAGCTAGGCTGCTATTATTACTATAATAAAGAAAGAATAAACACAGCCTGTATCACTCCCACATTTTTCTTAATGTCGGAGCATCAGGACAAGCCTCTAGACCCCCTGGGACTGCGTTCCCAGGACTCACTTGCGTCTAGACTGTTCTCTGCCTCCAAGGACTGTCTGGCAATGACTTGTGTTGGCCACCAACTGTAGATGTATATATGGTGCCCTTCTGATGCTAAGACTCCAGACCTTTTTTTTTTTTTTTTTGCTTTGCTTCTTCTGATTTTATACCAACTGTGTGGACTAAGATGCATTAAAATAAACATCAGAGTAACTCACTGACCTCTCTTGGGTTTTTGTGGGGACCCAGTCATGGGTGTGAGGTGTGTCCCGGAGTGGAGGGAAGAGCTCAGGGGAGGCGAGGTGGAACTGATGATGTGGGCTGCAGTGTGGTGATCAGAGACCAAAGTCACAGCCTTTCAACAGGCTGCAGGGAGCACATGCCTTCCAGAAGCTTGTGCAAATGCCTGCTGATTGGAGAGGGCCAGGAATTGCAGCTGAAATGAAAGCTGCAAATGCACTAGAGAGACTTGCATGTTCATGGAGATCAATCTTCTCTCTCAGGCTCTGATCTCTGATGACCCGCATGGGGGTTGCACTCACCTAATACATGGGGAATGTTGACATGAGCAGCATAGATCCCTAACCATTAAAAGGAGAGGAGGTAGGATATGGTGGAGAGTCTGCATGATGGTGAGTTGAGGCCGGACTTACAGAGGAAACATTAGTTGGCACCAACAAAGCTCCTAACACTGTCCTGAGGAAAGGAAAGGACCGACCTTGTTGCCCAGCTCCAGGTTTCTGGACTGCATCTCACTCATACATATTTTAACCCATCCACATTTTGTTGAGCACCTGTGATACATCAAGCTAGTGATGCACTCAGTATTCAGTATTCTTTACTACTGAGCATCTGTGTTGAACTGGGTACCAGAGCTCAAGAAAGAATGACATTTTAATATCAAAAGTCACATTATAATGAGAGGCATAAGCAAACAAATGGCTGTATCATAATTAATGAGCATATACATTAGGCACCTTGGGTTTGAACCTGCCTTTTGCCCGTAACCAGCTGTCTGAAGCTGGTCTAAGATTCAGTTTCCTCATCTGTAAGTTGAAGTTGCCGATGCCAGTTCCAAGGCTATGGGATTGTAGAGGTGAAAAGGAGTTGATAGGTGTAAAATGCTAAGCACAGTGATGGGTGGATAGAAAGCATTCTAAAGATTAGTGCTTATATACGTAATCCAGTGGAGGTGTATTAGAAGGAGAGACTGATTTGTGGAATTCTAATACCAGGCTCCATATTAGAATCTCCCAGCAGGGGCCCACCCTAGAGATTGAAATTCCCTGTCTGTGTTGGGACCCATCCTCCTTGATGGATTTCAAGAATCCCACTGGTGATTACAGGGTGCAATCAGGGGTGATGACCTCTGAGCTAGTCCGGTAGTTCTCAGACTTTAATGTGCTAATGAATCACCCAAATCCTATAAAAAGCAGATTCTGGTTCAGTCGGTCTATGGTGGGCCCTGAGGCTCTAAATTTCCAATTAGTGCCTGAGTACTGCTGACAATACTGGTCCATGGGTCATGCTTGAGTAGCAAGGGCCTAGAATAGAGCCCCCTTCAGGCCACTCATGCTGCTGTATCCCAACTCTTGACTTTGGTAGATTGAGGAAGGAGGGAGGGATGGCTGTGAGGTGTATGGGAGGTGTAGGTGACTGAGAAAACTAGAAATTTCACTTCACAAGCTTGTACTTTGAAAATACATGCTTTCATTTCATAAATTTTCTTTTATAATGTGGTTGACCATTAAATATTAATGATAAGAACAAAGAAAAAAACAAAAAATGGCCTAAATCTCTCCATCCAGGTAACCCTTTTGGCTTTAAAATATGCTGGGTCATAAAATAAATCTCAACATATTTAGAGGGAAATATAAAATGTGAAATTCATTTAGTCTCTTGCCAAAGGTAACCATAAGTTATAGTTTATTAATCTTTCCAGGAAAAGAATATATTTTTCCACATATATACATCCATTTAAGTATTTTTAAAATTCACACAAAAGGGGTCACACTACTTACACTATTCTGCATAATGTCGTTCTTTTTATTTAAAGATAGAAATTGGAGCTCTTTCTATGTCAGTATATACCTTATTTTTAATGAGCTTTGTTTCACTCTACCAAAATTCTTCAACTAATTACTGTGTGGCTATGCAAACCTTTATTTACCAGTTAGTCCCTCATCAGTAGGCACTTTGGTTGTGCCCCTGGTTTTTATTATTACCAAAAATGTTTCAGTGGACATCTTTATACATGAATATTGGTGAATTTTAAAAGTGTATCCAGGTGCTAAATGCCTGGTGAGGATATTGCCCAGAAAAAGGGCAGGTACATTAAAAAAAAATTAATAGGTAACACCAGCTTGGTCTCCAGAAAAATTTCACCAACTCTCACAGAGCTTTATTTTCTACACATAACTCATGGGATCCACTGAAAACAGAAAGTGCTAAAATAAAAAAAAATTTGAGTAGAAACAGCTTATCTACTACCAGTTCCTTTGGACATGATGTTATTGATCACCCACACTTGGGCCAGTTTCCCTGCCTTGGGAGCCTGCCTGGAAGCCGTGCTTCCTTGAGGAACAACACCAGAGGCTGAAGACAGTGAGGAGGAAAGGGACTTCACTCATATAGTCTAATTGTCACTAAACGAAAAATAAGCAAATAACAATAACAAGCCCAGAGTAAGGAAAACTATACCCTGAGTTGCTACAATATATCATCTGAGATACCCAGTTTCCAACAACAGCATAATTATGAGGCATGCAAAGAAACAGAGAAGTTCACGGTATGCCATATGCTGGGTCATAAAATAAATCTCAATAAATTTAAAGTGTTAAAAGTAGCACAAAATATGTTCCATGACCATAACAGAATGAAATCAGAAATCAATAGGAGAAAAAATAAATCGAGAAACTGACAAATATGTGGAAATTAAGCAACATACTACTGATTAAACAATGGTTTAAAGGAGAAATTGGAAGAAAAACCAGGAAATACTTTGAATGGAAATGAAGACACAACATATTGAAACTTATGGGATGCAGCAAAAGCAGTGGTTAGAGGGTAATTTATAGCTATAAATAACTATAGTAAGAAGAAGAAATACCTCAAATAAATAACTTACCCTTCCACCTTACAACACTGGAAAAAGAAAAAGTGTACTAAACCTAAAGCAAGCAAAAAGAAGGAAATAATAACAAGCAGAAATTAATAAGGTGGAGGCTATAAAAACAATGGAGAAAATCAATGACACCAAAAGGCAGTTCTTTGAAAAGATAAACAAAACTGACAAATCTTTAGTTAGATTGACTGTGATATTGTGACATAAGAAAGTTATATTTGGTCTCCCTCCCTGATTGCAAGTCTAGAGCTCCTAAAACCCTTAATTTCCTGAGTGAAAAAGCAAGAGAAGGATCTCTTGTTATTTATAACAAGCCCCTCTCAACCACACCTGAATTTATGGCAATAAAGTGACTCTTGGAGGATGGGGACCGGTCCTGAGGAACCAACGCTGTGATTAGAGGTTGGAACTTTCTGCCCCAACCCCCTCACCTCCAGGGAAGGGAGAAGGGCTGGGGATTCAGTTAATCACCATGGCCAATGATCTAATCAATCATGCCTATGTAATGGATCCTCTATAAAAACCTTAAACAAAGGGGTTCAGAGAGCCTCAAAGATGGTGAAGACATTGACACGTGGGGGATGCCCAGTAAACTCCACAGGGACAGAAGTTCCTGCACTTGAGGTCCTTCCAGACTTCACCCTATGTACCACTTCTTCTTGTTGTTCATATGTATCCTTTATAATATCATTTTTAATAAACAGGTAAATATAAGTAAACTGTTTTCCTGAGTTCTGTGAGCCATTACAGTAAATTATTGAACCTCAGTGGAGTGTTGTGGGAACCATGATTTGGAGCCAATTGTACAGAAGTGTGGCTAACCTGGAGGCCCACTACCTGTGACTGTCATCTGAAGCAGGAGGCAGTATTGTGGGACCTGTGGGATCTGTACTTATTCCAGGTAGTTAGTGTCAGGACTGAATTAAATTGTGGGACAATCTGTGGTGTCTGAAGAGAATTGGAGAGTTTTTTGTTATGGAAAAACTCACACATTTAGTGTCAGAAGGATTGTGAGTAAAGAAAGAGTTTTCCCTTAATGATCAATAGGTAAGGCTAAAATCACCAGAACAAAATTGTTAGAGGGGACAGTATACTGACCCTATATATAAGTAAAAAGATTGTAAAAAAAATACTGTGAGCAATTGTATGCCAATATATTTGATAACTTAGATGAAATGACAAATTCCTAAAAGACAAATTACTGAAGCTGACTCAAGAAGAAATAGACAATTTGAATAACCTCTAACAAGTGAAGAGATTGTACTTATTAAAGAAACTACCCACAAAGAAGATCCCAGGCCCAGATAGCTTCATCATTGACTTCTCCCAAATATTTGAAGAATAAATATCAATTATTCACAAATATTTACAAGAAATAGAAGAGAAAGGAGTGCTTTTCAGATTTTTATATGAGACCACTATTATCTTCATACCAAAACCAAATAAAGACATCACAAGAAATGAAAAATATAGACCAATATATCTTATGAATATGGACTAAAAAAGTCCTCAGCTGCATATAAAAAGCATCATATACCATGAAAAAGTGGGATTTATTCTAGGAACACAAGGTTTGTTGACATCTGAAGATCAATGTCATACATTGTATCAGTCTAGAAAACAAAAATCACTTGACATCTAATAGACTCAGTAAAGAGTATTTGACAAATTCAACACTCTTTTATGATAGAAATACTCAACAAGCTAAGAATACAAGAGAACACCCACAACCTAATAAAGAGCATCTATGAAAAACCCACACCTAACATCATACTTATTGGTGGGATATTGAAGGCTTCCCCTCTAAGATTA